TAACTGGAGGGCATGTGGAATTTGGTGAATTATTTGTTGATTGCGCAAAATGTGAAGCCGAAGAGGAGGCCGGGGTCATTATCAATGAACTTTTTTATATTACCAAGGTTTCGGGCTTTCGTGAGTTCCCTGACGAGAAAGAGTGTCTTTACAATTGCGCTATTTATTTTTCTTTTATTGGTGATCAGATTCCTAAGCGTGTCGAGCCTATGAATAACAGTGAGTAGCAACCTTATGATGTTGCCGAGTTTGCCAAGCTAACCAACCTTACACCATCTCTCTTTGAGAGGCGTAAGGAGATTGCTGAGGCTATCAATATGAAGTTTTGTTCCCGTGCTAGGTCCATAACCGCCAAGAGAAATCATGGAGGAAAATAGTAAAAATATTGAAAAGAAAAAAAAGATAGATAGTGATAGCGTATCTGATAATTGAATCACTTAGATAGCGAGTAATATTATTTTTTATTATTATTATATTTACCATTCAGTCTACATTGACCGAATGGATTTTTAACTGTGTAATTTGTTTTTTTTTAGTTCGATGTGGTATAAAAAATCGAGACAGGATTTTGCGTTGGAACATTTTGAATCTATTAGTGATTTGCATATCCAATGTAAATATGTGTGAAAAAATATGTTAAACCATATTTAACAGATACCATTAAGAAACATATTAGGTTTAAACACTGTGATATTTGGGAAACATATGATTCCACACCCACAGAAATTCATCCCACTGCAGCATTCACAAATTCTACAACGCCCAGAATTAATTCCACGACGCCCAGAATTCCAGTATCCACAAATTCTACGATGCCCAGAATTAATTCCACATTGGTTCCACAAATTTCATCAGCTGCTACTTGTACCAAAATTCTGATTTTGACGTCATCAATGATATTAAAACGGATTTCACAAGATAAACAAACGGTAGTTAATAAAAAGTCGCAAATTGTTGTTGAAGATGTCATGTTTAATATAGGCACAGTTAAATGTATTGCAAAGAAGATGAGGATAGAAATAGCTAACTAATCTATTCAGTCGTAAGACCGAATAGATTTTTCTTTATGTAACTTA